CTCCCTCCCTCCCTTCCTTCCTCCCTTCCCTTCTCTTCCCTCTTCATCACCCCTTCCCTCATCCTCTCCTTCCCGTATCCTCTCTCCCCCTCCTTCCTCCCCTCCCCTCTTTTTCTGTAATTTCCCTCAGATCGCAAAGCGCGAGCGGCACGAGCCATGGCCGTCCATCCCGCAATTTATTTATTTCCCTCGTGGCTCGTCTGCTTTCACACTCGGGTGTTCGTTGCGAACGACGAGTTGGGCGTTGCAAGGCGGAAGGGCTGGAGGGCGGGCGTGCGCGCGCGCGGGAGAGCCAGCCAGCATGATGCGAGCAGCACATTAGGGTCGTGACCCTACCGCCCTACGCTATTCTGGGAGCCACGGACGCCACCACCAGCCCTGCGAGCTTTGGCTGGCACCCTCGTGGTCCCTCTTCTCTCTCTGCCCCTCTTGCTTTCCCCTTTCTCTCTTCCTCTCTCCTCTTCTCCTTCCCTTTTTGTTATCCTCTTCACTAGCTCCCTCCTCCCCTGACCCCTCCCTGTCTCGCTTCCCCGGTTTCATCTCCACCTGCCATTTCCCTTCTCCCTGGTCGCCTTATACCCATGCCTCCTTGCCTACCTTGGTCCCCCTCATTTGCCTTCTCCCCCTTCCCTCCTTTCCTCTACCCCTTCATCCCCCCCTCCCTCTCTGTACTCCTGCCCTTGTCAGCCTCCCTGTCAACTCTTCCGTCTTCTTGCCAAGCCTTGCTTTCCTGCCCTGCCTCGGTTTCGTGTCCGCTTAAGAAAAAGTTTAATTAGTGTTCTTGCTAATCTCGCTGCCTTGTTTATCGCCGGGACTGTGCCGCCACGGCAAACGTATTTTTTTCCTCTTTGTTTTTTCGCATTCGGCATCTTTCTGCCCGCCTTTGCTCTTGCTCCCTTTCCCTTCCCTTCCCCTTCCCTTCCCTTCCCTTTCCTTCCCTTTCCTTCCCTTTCCTTCCCTTTCCTTCCCTTCCCCTTCCCTTCCCTTCCCTTCCCTTCCCTTCCCTTCCCTTCCCTTCCCTTCCCTTCCCTTCCCTTCTGATCCTAATAAGAGCGAAAAATAACCCCAACAATAATAGCAAGAGGTGAACGCTTGAACACTTGCATAACTGTTCTCTCCTCCCCCCTCTTCCTCCTTTCCCCTCCCCTCCCTTCCCCCCCATCTCCAGCTTCCAATTAGCCAGCGGAAATAACCTTGCCTTTGGTTATCAGGAGATAAGTGGTTGAGACGAGCGGCAACCCCTGCAACCCCTGCAACTTCTGTTTGCAATGAGGTTTGGATGAGGGGGGGTGGGGTAGGATCCTTTTTGCTATTTTGTGTATTATCATGTCTCCCCATCCTCTGATCACCATCCTCTTTCTCCTCCTCCTCTTCCTTCACGCCAGTCTCTTTCGTCATATGCCTCTCGTCCTCTGTTGAATGATTTTGTTAATATCAAAAGAAGAAAGTTCAATACTTTTTTGGACGAAACGTGAATCTTGTTAACCTGTCTCCTTTCTGTTTTTCTCCCCTCCCCTTCCTCAATCCTTTCTTCCTCCTTCATTCCCCCTCCTATCCCATTCTTCCATCCTTCTTTCCTTCCTCCTCCTCCATTCATCCTCCTTCCTCTCCCCTTCCTTCCTCCTCCTTCCTCTCCCTACTATTTTCTCTCCCTTTTATTTTTTCCTCCTCTTCTTCCCCCCCCCCCCCCCCTCCTGCTCCTGCCTTCCCCTCTTGCTAACTTTCATGTTCGTGTCCTTCGTTACTTTAAAGTGAGTAGCGTTTGTAGGTTTCTTTCGATTTTATTACCATTTAGTATCTTTTAGTTACATGAATATTTTTTTTTTCGATTGGGCTTGGGCATATGGCAGCGATATGGCAGTTTTTATTGAGCGTGTGGCGTGCGCATGCCGTCGTCGTCGTCGTCAGCGTAGAGTTGTGTTTTGAATGTGCTGTAGATGGTCTTGCGTGTTTGTGCGTGTGCTCGTGCGGGAGATGGAGGCGGGGAGGAATGGGAGAGGGGGGGGGAGGTCCTGTTATGGCCTCCAGATGCGTTGATTTTTTTATGCGTTGCGGTGGGGCTTTGCAGAGGCTAATGGCTCGTGGCGCCCTCGGGGGACGTGACCGGGGGAGAGGGGGGGGAGGCAGGACGTGCTTTGGAGGGTCAGGCGATTGTGGCGTTGTTAGAGAGAGAGAGAGAGAGAGAGAGAGAGAGAGAGAGAGAGAGAGAGAGAGAGAGAGAGAGAGAGAGAGACAGACAGAAGAAAAAGGAGGGCGGTCGTGTGTCTGGCGTTTCGAGTAAATTACTTTCAGGAGGGAACCCTTTATCCGGAGGGGGGAAGGGAGCTTTGTTGCTTTCGCTGCAGTGACCCGTGTACCCAAGTACCTGCCTGCCCCGAGGGGATTGCAGAGGGGGTATGAGAGAGGGGAGGGGGAGAGGGGTGAATGGGGTTGTTCTTTTCCCCCCCTTCCTTAGAGGGGATTTTTGTTTGGGGGAGACATTGTTGTAAGGGTCTGGGTCTCTAATCTTCTCCTTTTACTGCTTTGCATCGCTCTTCTAAGAAAAACGAGGGAACTCATTTTCGTGTTGTGTTCCAGCATCTCTCCCCCCCCCCCCTTCCCATCCTTTTGATACACACACACACACGCCTGCATCTCTACGCGCGCGCACACAAGCAACCCTCGCCACCATACTTGCCACGTGCTTCCCTAAACCACGTGACTGGGACTCGTTCAACAGCTGATCCATCATCCGGTATAGGAAAGGGGAAGGGGGTAGGGGGTAGGGGGTGGCGGGTAGGGAATACAGTACCCCCTTCCCCTATCCTTCTAATGGCCCATTTGATGACGTCACTCGGCCGCCGACACCACAACAAATCCCATTACACGACCGACAAAAGAGAGAGAGACACGATGACGTCACAGCGTTTCAGGAGCCTTAGACGGCCCTCTTGAGGCTCCTAAAACGGCTGAGATGATGACGTCACGCCCGCGTTATGGGTTTTCTCCGCGGAAGGAGATGGACGGATGCGAAAGGAGGAGGATGGGGGGGGGGGCAGGAGGGGACAGAAACATACATACAGACAGACGGACGGAGAGAGGCTTCGACGTCGACAGGTTCGAGATTAATCGTTTACATCTCAGAAAGAGTAATGAACATTTTTTTTCTTCTCCGAGAGGGAAAAGGAAAGCGCTCGAACGGTGCGAAGGAGGCTGCAAAGAACGCTCTTCGGATCTGTGAAGGAGGGTGGGTGCAGGTGTAGCGAATAGCGGGGGGGGGGGGGGATTAGCAACGGAGAGAAGAGGAGGAAGTGGGGATTGGGAGAAACCAGAAGAACACCCGAGAGGAGTGTCGTAGAAGAGAAGAGACAAGGCAGAGGATAGGGCGAGGCGAGGTGAGACCACCCACGGATCGGCGGCGGCGAAAGAGACGGTCTCGGGTCGGGTAGATTTAGTAGTGCCGACGTTGGGGGGGGGGGGCACGCTACATATTTTTCCTTCTTACTGCGACAAACGAGGTTGCTCTCCTCTCCGTGCATAAACATTCCCATGGATGAAGGTTCGCCCCCCCCCCCTCCCGTACATTTTGACACGGTCGGTCTGACGAGTATTTTCGCTGCTGCTGTTCCTATGGTTGTTTACAGGCTCGTCTTTCTGCTTTCTCTTTTCTCACCTTGGCTTCGTCGCTCTCATTTTCCCTTTCTCTCCGGTCTCTTCGCTTCTCTTCCATTTTCTCCTTATATCTCTGCTTTGCCCCCTCCCCCCCCCCATCCCAGCAATGATTTCTTCCTGTTTCCTCCCTCCTCTCTCCTCTCAGAGAGGTAAGAACGCGAAGGGTGGGGTGCCTCTCCCACCACACCCGCTAAGGTTGCAACGTTGCAAGCTGCCTCGCTCGGGGAAGGTGTGGCGGAAGTTGGGCGAGTGGTTGACCTTTTGTCCCGAGGTGTTGCGCTCTCTCTCTCTCTCTCTCTCTCTCTCTCTCTCTCTCTCTCTCTCTCTCTCTCTCTCTCTCTCTCTCTCTCTCTCTCTCTCTCTCTCTCTCCCTCTCTCTCTCCCTCTCTCTCTCCCTCTCTACCTCTCTCCCTCTCCCTCTCCCTCTCCCCCCTCTCCCCATCCTTTCCCCCTCCCTTTCCCTCTCACTTCCCCTCTTCCTTTTCTCCCTTACTCACGTCCTTACTTCACATTTTATCTTCTTAGTCCCTCGCCTTTTTCTTTCCTATCGATGGGCAAGATAATTATTTTTTTTTTACATTTCCTGTATCGATTGTCCTGAATTCATTAATGTATTATTTTTCATCAGTTTGCATTTAATAAGCTTGATTTGTTTAAATGGCTTTATTTTCTTCACTTCGTCACTCTTCCTCTTCCCTCCCCCTCGTGCTCTGTCCACAGCTCCCAGCCTTCTTCACACGCAGAACCTTCATCCACCCGCCCACCCCTCTTCGAGCTTTGTAAAGACGGTTATCTCTCCCACGTTGTCGCCCCCCCCCCCCTCTCTCTCTCTCCTCTCTCTCTCTCTCTCTCTCTCTCTCTCTCTCTCTCTCTCTCTCTCTCTCTCTCTCTCTCTCTCTCTCTCTCTCTCTCTCTCTCGTCTTTTTCTGTCTTTTTCTTTTTCTCCCCCCTTCCCTCCCTCTGTCTCTGTCTTTGTCTCTGTCTCCCTCTCACCTCCAAAGCGGCAAGTCTCAATCATTATAATTTGCTTTCACGAGCTAAATGAAAGGTAACACGTTTGAAACCCGATTGTGTGCGCGTATGTGCATTTGTATGGTCGTGTGTATTAGTGATTTCGATGTGTCTGCTCTTAGTTATATATAAAAATCCCATTTGCATGCACGTGTTCGCATGTTAACACTTTGCTTCTTGGCAAACCTCGTGTTGCGCGATGTTTTGAATATATATTTGTCTGTTTTTTTTGTTTGTTTTTTTTTAAGTGATACTCAAACCAAAACATGTCCTTGACACATAGCTAATGAACATGGAGAGTGATACTAAAACGTTTTGTTTTTCTCCTTTGCTTCCAGGAGGCGGTGGGGACGGGCCATGAGGGAAGTGGACGCTTGCCAACCCCTCCTCCTCAGCCGCAGCAGCAGCAGCAGCCTCGCTCGCCGCACCAGCAGCATCAACAACAACAGCTGCAGCCGGCGGGGATGAGGGTGTCGCCTGCACCGCCGCTGTCTGCAGGAGCCAACCCGCCTCACCCCCCTCATTCTCCGCACATGTCTCCTGCCGTAGGTGAGTGATCTCCCCGAACACGCGATCCAGCCCCTGGCCTTTCTTTCCCTTACTTCCTTACCTTTGTCTTCCCTCCTTCCCTACCTTCTATTACCTTCTCCCCCCCCCTCCTCACCTCTTCCCTCCCTCCCCCTCACCGCCCCCTCCCCTTTTCTCCCAAGCATCACACGTTCTCTTTTAATCTGGAAATCACGCAAACGCACGCACGTACGCAACACACGGATCGATCTCCTTGGTGTTCATGATTCTCTCTCTCTCTCTCTCTCTCTCTCTCTCTCTCTCTCTCTCTCTCTCTCTCTCTCTCTCTCTCTCTCTCTCTATCTATCTATCTATCTCTCTCTATCTATCTATCTCTATCTATCTATCTATCTATCTCTATCTCTCTCTCTATCTATCTCTATCTATCTCTCTATCTTACTCTCCTCTCCTCTCCTCTCCTCTCCTCTTCTTTCCTCCCCTCCTCTCTCTCTCTTTCTCCTCTCTCTCTTTCTCGGTTTCTCTCTCATTTAAACTCTTTTGTGGCAGGGTGTGAGTAAGGGGGAAGTGTTAGGGGCGGGCGGAGGGTGGATGGGCAATTAGAGGCGCTGTTGCTAAGATAGACTGGTCCACGAGAGCTAGGGTCGTACGGAGGTGGATGAGCTAGGAGGGAAGAGCAGGGGTACGAGAGGTCGCTAGGTAGAGGTGGGTTTTGGTGTGGTAGAAACAGCGTGTGGTATTGACGAGGTCTGGCTGTCTTTGTGCGTGCTTGTCTGGGGCGGACGACAGGTACGCACGTAGACTGATTCGTTGGCTCGCTCTCTCTCTCTCTCTCTCTCTCTCTCTCTCTCTCTCTCTCTCTCTCTCTCTCTCTCTCTCTCTCTCTCTCTCTCTCTCTCTCTCTCTCTCTCTCGAATCAGGCATTCGCTATCGTGGGGAGAATCGGCACCGATAAGCCCGATAGACGTAAGGTCAGAGGCACGCCGTTGCCATAGTGATTTAGACGCTGTTTCCTCTGCTTCCCGCGACCCTTAACCCACCTTCTTACTTCACGTCTCTGTTGCTCATGACCCTCCCCCCTAACTCTCTCTCTCTCTCTCTCTCTCTCTCTCTCTCTCTCTCTCTCTCTCTCTCTCTCTCTCTCTCTCTCTCTCTCTCATTCTGTCGTAGGGAAACGGGCATCCATCTTCATTGTCAGCTCTTATGGTTCATGGGGAAGGCGTTTTGTTTGCACTTTTTCGTCTTGTAGAGATGGTCGTGCACGTGGTGATTTCCCCCTCATGTAAGGCAGTCCCTCCCCCGTGTGTGATTATGTACTTCCACCCAGGCCGTTCCGTGGATTGTTATCAGTACGGTTATCTGTTATTGTTATCGTTTTTCTTAATCATTTGTGTTGCTTTGTATAAATGAGACGCTGCTTCCAGCCCCCTCCTTCCCGCCCTCCCCCCTCTTCCCACCCGAGTCCAAGCATCTCTGTATCAAGTGTAGTGTATATTGTATCGTACGGTGTATTGTGTCCATGTCCTTTGCAATGATGATATTCCGTAATTGACAGTTTAAGGTGATTTGGTGCCATGTCTTCGTCTCTGTTTTGGCGTGTATGCGTGTATGTGGGCGTGTCTCTGTCTCATTGTCTGTGTTGTTTGAGCGAGTCCATTCCTGGTGGCTTCGTATAAGGTGTATCGTGGGCGTGACTTTTAACAGTGAAGGACGGAATGAAGGAGGAGAAAGAAAGAAAGAAAGAGCAAAAGGAATAGACCCTAGATCCGAAAGGAGCAATAAGAGAATAGGTGAGGAACGGAAGTGAGGAAAAAGTTATGTATCAGAGAGAAGGGGACATTGTTTGTTCTGGTATTACTGTGACGTGACCTTGGTAATTTGCTGCCCAACAGATGTCCGTGGTCGCCTCCTGCACCATCCCCAACAGCTCGCTTTCCTCCACCACCACCACTCCAGCTCCGCCCCCACCTCCAACTCCACCTCCGGACCGTCTGCACCACCACAACCACCACAACTACTCGATGTTGCTTCTCATATCCCAACTTCCTCAGGTTTCTGATGTTTCTTTTTTTAATTATTTTATTGATAGGACTCTTTCTCTACAATACCCCCCGTCTCTTTCACACACTCTCTCCCTCTTTCCATATAAAGCTTAAATTGGTTTCTGACAACTGGAACGCCCCGGCGGCTGAACAGCATTTACATTTTTAGAAATCTTTAATATGATTATTGTTGTTATTGTTGTTGTTATTATTATTGTTGTTGTAATAGTTGTTATTGATGTCTAGTCGCCTTATAATGCATCGACGCTACCTAAATATTTTAAACATTCGCGCGTAATTTTTCGTCACTGAACATGGGTTTAATATTGGCGGACGTCTCAGCTCGGCCTTTCGGAGAGTTTGATGCGGCTCTCGCAGTCTTTAAGATATAAACGTGCGCGCGCGCGCGTGTGTGAGTAAGAGAGATATATGTATATATGTGTACATATGAATATGTAGGTATACACATTAACATTCATACCCACACACATTCATACAAATACACACACACGTATATATTTACATATGTGTATATTTATATGTTTATATTTGTATATATGTATGCATATATTTATATGTATGTATATGCATATATATATGTATTTATAATTATATGTATATATATATATATCTATAAATTATATGTATATGCATTTGTATATGTATAAGTATTTATATATATTTTTATATATTTATATAATATACATGTATATATATTTATAAAATGTACATGTATATATTTTTATAAAATGTACATGTATATATATTTATATAATCTACATGTATATATATATTTATATAATCAACATGTATATATATTTGTATATGTACGTATAGATTTATATATATGTGTGTGTGCGTGTGTGTGTGTGTGTGCGCGTGTGTATATGTGTTTGTATGTATATATATATATATGTATGTATGTATGTATGTATGTATGTATGTATGGGAAATTATTAGTTAAGGCCTGCAGTGGATTGACTCGGGCAGATGATGTTGATGTATGTACATGTGTATGTCTGTATATGTTTGTTTATATATGTGTATCTATATATGTATGTGTTTGTATGTATGTATATATTTTTTGAATTTGTATTTACATCTGATACATGCTTTGTATCCTGTGTACGTATAATTGTATTGTACTGTGTTATATCCAATTATTTTGCTGGCATAATACTAGATACATGCCATGTCCACTGGGAATTTAGTTTGTGTGTACACCTACGTCTCCACTAAAATTTAGTCACCGAAGAGTCGATTACTAATCCTAAGTACCACACCTTTTTACCCTTTTCCGCGATTTTCGTAAAAAATGTTTTATATTTTAATTGTTCGTATGTCAGTAGCATTTTCTCGAAAATTGAAGGAAGTCAACCAGTACTTGGACACACGACCATTAAGTTTACAACGATGAAAACAAAGCAACCCCCCTCCTCCCTCCTCCCTCAGTACTTCCTGGACACACGACCATTAAGTTTACAACGATGAAAACAAAGCAAACCCCCCTCCTCTCCCTCCCTCCCTCCCTCCCTCCCTCCCTCCATACCCCTCTCCTCTCCCCAGCCTTTTGCACTCCGGTCGTGGGGTTCCTTCTCGATGGCTGTGTTCATTGCTTGGTGTAAACGGTGGAGCCGTTGATCGCTGTCAGTGTCGGCCTTGTGTATATATTTTTTTGTCCTGTGTGTTTTGAAATTTTGTGCATGTGCGTTGCGCGCGCTACCGTTCCCGCACGATCTTCGGGGTTGACTAAGGAATAACTACGAAGATCGGCAAAAATCTGGGCTTGAGTTTTTCTTGATGTTTGGGTTTTTTGTTTCTTGTCCGTGTGAACGTTCCGGCCTGGCGGGGATTGGGTTCCAATTTGTGGTTTCACATGTGCGACTTTTGTTTGTTTTGTTCGATGAGTTCTTGGCAAATGAAAGGGAAGGCAGGAAGAGGAAACGATCCGTTTGTTTTGGACTTATGGTTGCACATGCAGTACATACAGGTACACTTGCACTGAATCACACACAAACATCAACGCGCGCTCGCAAAGCCGGTGGCACCTGGACACACACGCGCCCGTTTATCGAGTGCTCTTTTTTATGTATGTGTATCTCTTGCTGATGTTTTGTGTGCGCCAAGTGGTTTTCCAAGCCACGTGGCCCGGCGTTGCGTCATCGAGGTCGGGGAGGGGGGGGGAGGGGTTTGATGCCGGTACATACTTCCTCGCCTCCCCTGCCCCTCCCTCCCTGGGACCCGTGCCACCTCACTGCGTGGAGATGGGGTAGGGAATGCTAATGCTGGCTGATCTCCGTTTCATCTGCTGCACGTCCAGACACGCAGACGCGCGCGCACAATTACACGCGAACGTTTTCTTCTCTCGGCTTGGAAGGAGGGCGCGGTGTTTGCTGACGAGGAAGGAGAGGGAGAGAGAGAGAGAGAAGAAAACAAAAGAAGTGTGCTAGGGAGAAGGGAGGGGAGTGTGATAGTAAGGTGAGGGGGGGGAGGGGGAGAGATGGAGATGGAGGGGGGATTAGGGAGAAGCTTGAGACATGTAAACAAATATACGAGCACTCTTAAAAAGCGGCGAGTGCCTTAGTCATGCGGATTTATTGCTCGTCACGGGTGGTGGGGGAGGAGGGAGGGAAGGAGGGAGGGGCGCGATATGGGAGTAAATGACAGGGGGGAGGATGAGAGGGGGAAGAGTAATAGTGAAGTTCACGTGGTCGACGCTGCCGTCTTACAGCGATGGGGAAGGCGGCGGGGAGGGAGGCACCGAGTCTTCCTCGCCACACATCCCGAGCTGGCGAGCCTTGCTGATGCGTTTTTTTATGAATGGTCCTCAGCCCCCTTTCGCTCTCTCTCTCCCTCCCCCCCTCCCTCCCTCCCTCCCTCCCTCCCTCTTCTCCCTTCCCTCTCCCTTCCTCCCTCCCTCTCCCTCCCTCTCCCTCTCCCTTCCTCCCTCCCTCTCCCTCTCCCTTCCCCCCCTTCCCTCGCTCCCCCCCTCTCCCTTCCCCCCCTTCCCTCGCTTCCCCACCTTGGCTTTGTCCGGGGTAACTGATAAAGTTGGGTCTTATTAGACGAGGCCGGCACTAGCCCACGCGAGTCGGTGGTTTGCCGGTCTGCCTCGCCTAACCTCTGGCCGGAACCCCGGTACAGTGGCCTCCCCCTCCCCCCCCGCGCCAGCTGCCCAATCATGTAAAGTCGCTTAACCCCCCTCTGTTCCCTTCCTCCCTGCCTTGCCAAACGTTTCCCTCCGAAAGGAAGGTGACGATGAACAAAGGCCAATCATTCCCCCGACGTTGAATTGGAATCTCGAATGGTTTCAAAGATGGTTCGCTTGTGCTCCGTGGCCAACCGAAAGAAAGGAAAGCACGAGGAGGATACGAGGCACGAGAGGAG